TCCTCACTCTGTCCCGGTCCCTGTGGCCATTTTCTGCCCTTTCCCCTGCTTTCCCACCTTGTTGCTTGTTAGTGTATAACAAGAGCTGTATGAAAATTTTTCTTCTAAGTGCCTGCCTCAATTATCCAAAATAAAGCATTATTAAATTAAGTTATTTAAAAGAATAAATTATATATAGTGATATGAAATTCTTCTATTATGGATTGGACTTTTTGTATAGTTAGTACTGTCAAGGATGATGTAGCAAATAGGGAAATGTATTTGTAGGAAACTTCAGAAATAAGCTGGATCCCTGCAGCTGACTCCTCCAAAAAATTTAAGATTAGTCACCATAATGTCAATGACTGCTGGTCATGGTTATGCTACACGAAAGGGAGGAAAATTGAAGTCCACATCTTAATTGAATAGAGAAACATGATAGACTGCCATAGGCACTCATCTACAGATTAGATGGATTTTGAATACTGCATGATACAGTATCAATTTTGGACAACCAATACTAAATAGCTGCCAGAAAGGAAAACATACCCACTATGCTGTTTATAACCAGTTATCCAAAAGTCTGGAGGAATGTTTAAGATGCTTATTTTGTAATAAGAAAAATGTCACACCCTACTGTTAGAAAGAAGAGCTAATCTGAAAAATGATGAAAGAAGGGAGAGGTAAAGGCAGAATCAAATCCAAGATTAAAATACACATGAAATAAAAGTTACACTTTTCACTGGAGAAAGAGTAAGTGGTTAGAATCTATTTAATCAGTGCCATGATATTGCCAACTATTAAGATTTCAGAAAACTTTCCCAAATGTTACAATCAATGAAAACATGCCCAAGATATAACTGCATTTTTTATAATGCATGATAAACTTTATCATAAGAGCACAACCACAAATTGATGGGAAAAAATGCTATGAGTAGAGACGTTAACAAAAGTGACAGAAAATAGTTATCTGCAGTATCCCTTTTCCTTTGATTTTTAAAAATTTAACAACTTTCATCAGTTATGCTCAGTATTTTGATCACAGCTTTTTAACATTTTAAAAATATACTATGGTATATAAACTATATGTAACCTAACAATACAACAATTAAATGTTTTGAATTACTTAAAAAAATAATCAACAAGACTGAGTTGGTTTAGCTTATTTCTGAAGTTTCCTACAAATACATTTCCCTATTTGCTACATCATCCTTGACAGTACTAACTATACAAAAAGTCCAATCCATAATAGAAGAATTTCATATCACTATATATAATTTATTCTTTTAAATAACTTAATTTAATAATGCTTTATTTTGGATAATTGAGGCAGGCACTTAGAAGAAAAATTTTCATACAGCTCATGTTATATACTAATGAAGCCAATTTGACCTATAATGCTGACATAAATAATCAATTAACAAAAGCTATCTAGTATTAGAGAAATCGTGAAAGAAACCAGTATCAAGTAATTTTAACTAAATATATTTTAATGACATATATTCATTCTCATATAGATTTATTTACATATATCACAAAGTAAACTTTGTGGCCTGTTTTTCCATTATGTGTAGCATTATAATTGATCAAAACAAAATTCATAATGAGGTCATCATATTTAAAGTCATGAACATTCATTAACTGAGAATGAAATACCAGAAAAGGGATAATGCATCTCTATACCAAATAAAGCCTTAAACAAATACAAACCCTGATAAAAAGAAAGCAGCATGCCAGAGATCTCTGAAGACAGTGCCAACGCTGTACGAGGTGCTTATACTGTGGCTCTGAACTGCTTCTTCCTGTGTGTTATCTGTGGTACTAGAACCATCTCCTTCCCTGTGTACTTCCAAATGGGCTGCTTTTCTTAATTTCCTTCATCAAGAAGAGATTAAGAGTAGAAAGTAGCTTTAAAATTTTACCAACCAATTTCTCTGTAGTGCATCCAAAATCATGGTAAACATAAACACAGGAACTTTAATGCATAATAAAACTCAGATTTACTAGATAAAATTTAATCCAAATATCATGGTGCATATTCAAAACAAATTCAAATTTATAAACATTAAGCTATTGTTTCTTGTTCATACTGACAGGTCAGTGGACATTAGTTGTAAGGACTGCATGGGACAGATATTTACAAAAGCATTTCTTCCCTATTTGAGTGCCACTTATCTGCAGATGAAGAGAGAAGAAAACTTAGATTAGAGAATTATATAATCTAATTGATCAGCAATGCTCTTTATCTAACATAGGTATTATCTTGTTAAAATGAGACAGGTTTATATGCCAAAATCTCAACCCTTAAAAACTGTGAAAGTCACAATCTCTTAATAGTAATATTCAAAATGCTCCAAAAGACCCTTAGAAACAGAACTCCATTGTGCTAAGAGGTCCATGAGACTTACTATATTTGGTTAATCAAAGAACACTATTACAACATCAAACAGCATTTAGTAAATAAATAAACTTTAGCTGAGATTTCTTTTTGGCTGTTTTTCCTAAAGCATCTTAAAAATCCAAGATTTTGCAAGTAGTGGGCACTATTAGCAACTCCAGCTAAGACATATTTCCTACATTGTTACAAGGTTACTAGAAATGAGCTCCAGGGAAAAATAAATAAGTAAGTAACAGGCATGTTGTTCACTGATACTTGATTCTGGAGCTCAGTGCTTTTACTTTGAAAAAGTAACTTTGTAAGATATTATCCTATAATAAAAGAGACAGGAACAATACTGGATTCAAATTATGGAAATCTACAAAAAGATCACTTTTACACAGACAGTACCTTCTTCTTTTACCTCCCATACTCAGAGGAGGTTTGGGTGTTCTTGTTGAAACAATCTGGCAGTGCACAGTTCCCAGGAGCAGCATCAGCCATATCGGCCCAATCACTTCTGTCAGAGGTATGCTATGTGGGCTAGAAGCGGAATAGAATAACACTATTGCTGCAACTACAAAAAGGGAAAGAAAATAGGTTTAATTATAGATGTGACAGTCAGTTATTTGAACTTTTAAAATTGTTTTTACACTGCATCTTACTAGATTATTTTTCTAAATTTAAATGAGCTTAAAAATGTTACTACAGACAAGCTCTTTCAGACTACTTTTATGATTTGCCCCACAGTGACTATGCTCTTTGGTAATAAGTTCTTAGAAGAAGAAAACATCCAACATAATCTCAAAAGTACACATCTCAACACTGTAACCACAATTAGATGCCTATGAATCTAAGGGCATTTTTGGTAAAATCACAGACTATCAAAAGAACCACACTAATCTCAAGTACACTATTTCTTAGTCTTACAAATGAGGAAGTCCTATGGTAAATGTAGATCCCTGGATAGTACAAACAGTGTACACCTGACCACTAACCAAAAAGGTTGATGGTTGAAATCCACCCAGTGGCACCACAGAAGAAAGGTATGGAGATCTACTTCTGTAAGATTGTTGCTGTTAGCGTTAAGATTACAGTCACTGAAAACTCTACGGAGCACGTTCTACTCTGAACCATGTGGGGTTGCCATGAGTCTGAACTGACTGGCGACTTTTTTTTTTTTTTTTTAAGTGATTAAGTGTGGAGTCCCTGGGTTGTATAAATGGTTAAACACAAGTGGCTACTAACTGGAAGTGTGAGTCCATCCAGAGGCACCTCAAAAAACAGTCCTGGTGATCTATTTCCAAACCAGCATTAAAAACAGCACAGAGCACAGTTCCACTCTTAAACACGTAAGACTGACATGAGTTGGAGATCAAGTCCATGGCAATTGGGGTTTGGCTATGACACATGTATGAGGCTATAAAGAAATTCTTATTGATAGAAATTTATCTACTTGAAAGTGCAAATTTATCTATTTAGGCATATTCTGCAGGGAAACCACTGAAAACAAAACAAAACCCCACCAAACTCACTGCTGTTGAGTCAATTCGACTAATAGTGACCTCTCCTTGGGTTTCTGAGGCGGTATCTCTACGGAAGTAGAGTGCCCAGTCTTCCTTCTGAGGAGTGGCTGGTGGGTTTGAAGCGCCAGCCTTCTGATTAGAAGCCTTCTGGCCTTAGGCACTACGCCACCATAGCTCCTAGGGAAACCACTAAGCATACATTAATATGTTTAAGATTAACACATGAAGGGGAAATCTTGTTTCTGCCTGCTCAGCATCACTTACACTCTCTGGACATAAACTCTCTTTACTTTTTGGGAGCTGCCTCCTTTATCTGTTCATCAAATTATCTCAACTCTCCAACCTCGGCGATGGATATGTAATCAAACTTGTTACGGTCTTAATAACTTTGGGTATAATCGTTAAGAAAAGAATGGATATTTCCTAAACAGGGTCAATCAATCCTGTTCAAGGACTGATACAGATGTTTGAAGAAGGCCTTTCTCCCAGATTGCAAACACTAAGGACAGTGGAAAAATGAAATTGTCAGGGGCCACTTAACCCAAGACCCAGAAGGAACCTATCTAGGATGCAATCAGCCAGGGAAAATTGAGTCAAGCATATGGAAGGTGAAGATATCTTCTGAACCTTCAGCTCCAGCCATGTTTGAGTCCAGCACCTAATTGTTTTGAAACAGATAATTTGATAAGGATTACCGTTCGTTAGGTGTGACAATTGTAATATATAATGTGCAAGGAGCTCTCATGGCGGAGTGGTTAAAGCATCTGGCAGCTAACCAAAAGGTTGGCTGTTTGAAACCATCAGCCACTCAGTGGATGGAAGATGAGGTAGTCTGCTTCCCTGAAGATTTACAGCCTTGGAAACCCTGCAGTGAAGTTCTATCCTGTCTTATAGGGTCACTTTGTGTCAGAATCTACTTGATGGCAGTGGGTTTCTTTTGTTTGTTTGTTTATGTAATATACATGTTTTGAAGATATATTTACTTACATATTCAAGGGTTAAATGTCATAATATATATAATTTATTTTAACAAAATAGATTAAGCAAATTTGTCAAAATGTTGTTGTTGTTAGGTGCTGTCCAGTTGGCTCCAATTCACAGAGACCCCATGTACAACAGAACGAAACACTGTCCGGTCCTGTGTCAGCCTCACAATCCTTGCTATACCTGAGCTCATCGTTGCAGCTGCTGTGTCAATCCATCTCGTTGAGGGCCTTCCCTTTTTTGTTGAGCCTCCACTTTATCAAGCATGATATCCTTCTCCAGGGAATGGTCCCTTCTGAAAACATGACCAAAGTAGGTGAGACAAAGTCTAACCATTCTTGCTTCCAAGGAGCATTCCAACTGCACTTCCTCCAGGACAGATTTGTTCATTTTCCTGGCAGTCCATGGCACTTAACAGTATTCTTTGCCAACACCACAACTCAAAAGCATCAATTCTTCTTTGGTCTTCCTTATTCACTGTCCAGCTTTCACATGCATATGAGGCAAATGAAAATATCATGGCTTAAGTCAGGCACACCTTAGTCTTTAAGGGGACATCTTTGATCTTCAGCACTTTAAAGAGGTCTTTTGCAGCAGATTTGCCCAGTGCAATAAGTCATCTGATTTTCTTTTTAATTTTGATTTGGATGAAAATTTATAGAGCAAATTCACTTTCCATACAGCAGTTCACACACACTTTGTCGCATGACACTGACCACAATTTACCACAATGCAACAGCTCCCCTCCCACTTCCTCCTGATAATGACCTCTTCCCTGTGTCCATCCCTCCATGCCCTCCTGCCTGCTGAGCTGTCTCCCTGTGCATAAGCAGCCCTTCTTTCTCCTTGACTGTTCTCTCCAAGGAGCGTACCTGCCTTGGGGCAATGTTCAACTCCTAAATCATCTGATTTCTTGACTGCTGCTTCCATTGGTGTTGATTATGGAACCAAGTAACATGAAATCTTTGACAATTTCACTCTTTTCTCCATTTATTGTGATACTGCTTATTTGTCCAGTTGTGAGGATTTTCATTTTATGTTGAGATGTAATCCATACTTATTATTAATAACTTATCATTAATAACGAATTGTTAATATTAGTAACTGCTAATCCAATGATACCGGAAGGAAGATGGGGCAATCTACTTCTGTAGTGATACTGCCTCGGAAACCCAAGGAGGGGTCGCTATGAGTCGGGTCCGACTCGATGGCACATAACAACAACAACAACAACAATCCAATGATATGGGTAGACAGGCATTTAGGGGAACTATATAATTTGTCATCTAAACTAAAACACTACTGAAAGTGAAATGGAGCTATTAATAAAAGCCCTAGGCCAACACAAGTAAACTAGGACAGTCCCAGACAAATTGAGACATACAGAAATCCTGGTTTACTGTACTATTTGATCCAGTTTCTTGTATTTTTTAAAAACTTTTTTGCAAATGCTTTGGTTTCTGCTACTTACAATTTAAAGAGTCCTGGTCTAGTCAAGCAAGAGTTAAGCTCAAAACACCACTTAATCTCCTAACAGGCTTAAAGTGTATCATGAAAACAAACTTCAGCTTTATATTTTCCTGAGTAATAAAATTCTTTAAAAAGAAAAAAAGATTTAAATTTTTTGAATGTCAATCATTTTTATAAATTTCTCTGAAATTTGACATAATTCTATAATTCTCTCGTAACAGACTCTGGGATTTTGGAAAAGTATAGTTGTTTTTAACATGAATTCCAATGTGGCCTTTGTCAAGTTCTTAATTATTTTGAACCTTGGTTTATCTTTTGTATGAAACATTATATAGGTATTTTAGCGTTTAAAGGAGGTAATATAAGTGAAATGCTTAGAAAAGCTCCTCACACATAATAAATATGTACTTCACACTGGTAAATGAAACTTTTATTAGCTATCATTAATCTAACTATGTTTAAAAGGAGTGAGGAGGACAAATGTTACAGAAGAGGTTTAGTGTTTCAGGCACAAAGGAGAATACCTTAAAAGAACTTCAGATTTTATACAATTAGTATGTGGTTGTTATTTATCTGTTCTGTCTAAATCCTATGACAACCCTACTCTGTAATGTGAGGGCTGGGAGACTACACACTCTATTTTCTGCATCGTAATAGAAAGTTGTTAAATTCTGCCAAGAGGTGGCATTGAGAGAGAGAGAGAGAGAGAGAGAGAGAGAGAGACAGAGAGAGACAGAGAGAGAGAGAGAGAGAGACAGAGAGAGAGGAAGCCACTTTCTTTCACTCTCTTTTTCCTTCCCTCTTCTGGCTATGTTTCTCACAGTGGTCATGGTCCCTCTACAGCCTCAGCTCCTGAGGCACCTCCTCTTCCATGGTTCTGGTATTAATTCCTCTCTTTTGTTCTCACCTCAAATGAAGGTTTAGAAGATATGTAAAGCTTACTTATGTTTTTTGGTCATTTAGTGAAGTCTGACAAACTAAACTATACTACTGGAGTTTTTGTAAGAAATTACTGACAAAGTTCAACCAAGACAGAACATTATTTATAGGGCCCATGTGGCTCGAAGAACAGATGTCACATACCAGCAAAGCAGAACTCTAGGGGGAACCATCAGGTACATAAAATATCTAAAGTTCACTTTTTAGGCTTATTAATACTTATGATTTAGCGGTAGGTGTTAGGCATTAAGGATAAAAAGAAATATGAGACATCCCTGTCCCCTAATCTTACTCTTTGGTTTATAGGAAAAGAGTCACACACAGAAAAAAAACTATTAAAATACTGTGTTAAGCGCAATGAAAAAATACATATGGGTAAAATATGTAACTAATTGAAGTTTATGGGGAAAAA